TGTACTCTACCTATTGACCTCCTTTTTATTCTTAAAGCGTTATACCACCTGATACATTACTACAAGGCTTTTACATTCTAAACATCGTGTCTTAATTCAAGTTTAGGGTTGTCAGTATCTCATTAATGTGAATAAAACAAGACATACGCTATTCAACTATTAGGGACACACTATATTATCCCTTTATACTTAAACGAAACGGTCACGAAATAATTGGTTTTGCATCCTAGTAACAGCATGGTTGTCTGAAGATATATTCAATACATTTATTTCCAGCATCAGCTCATAACGACGCAGTTTTACCACGAATTAGACACAAATATACTTATTTCTTCATGTATTCATTTGTATTTTATGTTCTTCAAAACAAGATACCAATACTATAAAACATGACTACGATATAGGGAATTGCGTTGTTGTTTAATGAATATAAATAAAGAAAATCTAGTTGAATGGCTTTATAGCCAAGGAATTAATGATACAAAAGACTTCGGAAAATTTCTGTACGGGTACTAAGATTAGAAGGAAAATAGAAAATGATTTGACTATATTTCTAGTTATCATGAAAATAAATGAAACAGCAAAATTATATTACACAAAAATATGGCAACAAAGATTCGGATTCGATTCATCTAAAGGGATAGTGAAATCCATAGCTAGTTGTGACATACACAAATAGTACAGACATAGACAAAAACACATTTTGTATGACTGTTACATGACTTCAGAATTTGAATTTAAATGTTTTTATAGTCTTGTTTAACACATAATTATACCAACAGATAATTTTTCACAAAATTACACCTGCTTGTGAATACATTAACATTATTTACCATTTATCTACGATCAATGTAAATAAATTTAGTGAGATAATTAACATAAAATGTTGATGAGATATCTTATTCTTAGTTTTTATTTGTAATAGTGCATACTAGTTTAAAGTAAGAACCGGAATGGTATAGCCTTTGACGAGCCTAATATATCATTAGGTACTTACTGTACTTTTTATACTACTTATTTTTTAAATTATTTCGAGAAGGTATAAGTTTTACGTATTAAGCCTTCTAGCGATACTACATAAATACCTCATTAAGAAACTCATTACTATTCATAAAATTTGAAATGTAAAATCTTGAAAAGTAACTGTCTCAACCCGGATAATAGAGTTAAGCTGAAATGCCTTTCCCTCGAGTGAAATAATGAATAATTCATCAGGGGAATAGAAGAGATGGGAACTTTGTTTTAGAAATTATATATCGCGACGAACAAAGAATGTGTGAAAATACATGATGTTTCAACGCGAGACGTAGTAACAAACTGGTGTGAAACTATGACGTGTGACTTCCTTTCCAATTCCGTTGAAAGCGCTAATTGTATGTTTCGTAGGTTCCTTTTTTAAATTTTCAGTTTTGACATCTGGTAATGCTTATTATAATTTAACTGAATAGCTTGTTTGTTAAAAGCTCTAAAGGCTATAAATACCTGACGAATTCTAAAGTAGTTCTAAGTTCTAAAGAAGGTAGTACCTACCTAATAACCGTGACCAATTTTCTGACTTGTTGTTTCCATGAAATTAATTTAGGTAATTAATTACTTATGGTACTTATTTAACTAATTTCTAAAATGATAGGTACTTATTTAAGATTTATATAAAGATAAAGAACTCATTTCATCAGTTTTTTATAATTATATCTGTTGCACATATATTTTTGTGAACAGCTGAGTATATTATTAATATTATTGTAAATTTGCTTCCACCGGAAGATATGCACCTTTTAGTCTCAGAAGTAAGGCATAAGAGACTTAGTGCGACTGATTATCACGCTAAGACCAATAGGAGCGGAGCACCAATGAAGAATGTTTCAAAAACGGAGAAAATTTATTACTATTGAGAGACGCAGACGAAGTTGCGCGGGTCAGCTAGTCTATACTAATATTATAAAGCTGAAGAGTTTGTTTGTTTGTTTGTTTGTTTGAACGCGCTAATCTCAGGAATTACTGGTCCGATTTGAAAAATTCTTTCAGTATTAGATAGCCCATTTATCGAGGAAGGCTATAGGCTATATATCATCTTTATTATATTTTAGTATACACGTGTACCTATATATAGGTATTTAAGTCATCGCAGTTGATAATTTTAAAGAAACAGCATGTCGGAGTATTTGATGTAATTAAATTGGTGTTCATCTCGTCGACATCCACTGCACCAAAAAGAATACTTTGTTGTTTTTGTACAGCACAGACAATGCGTCAGTTGATGAGTTGACTTTCAGAGAAAAAAAAACATCTAGTATTTGAAATTATGTGATTTATTCGGAATTTCGAATGTCGGCCTGGTTGGGTAAGCATACCTAGAACATGTGTCATAACGTTATAATTATCGTCAATTCTACAGAAATAACCTAGCCCTCAGACATATTAAGGTAAAACTGAGTCATCGGCCATTGCGGGTGTAAGGTTGGCACGAGCATTCTTCGTTTATTTTTACTTTGACCTTGTAATAAATATATAAAGTTTAAATACTTTCTCAGAATTTGATACAATCGTGTGTTGTTACGAGTTACCTATTTAGTTTTTGATATACTGAAACTGTAGCGATTCTATTTATAAATATCAAACTACGATAAAATTATTTACAGGCAACTATGTAGGTACATAATGTATTTTTTGGATTTATTAGATCGATCCGTACTTAGTTTGAAACTGTAACTAAGTTGACCAGCAGCATAGTTTTTTTTTAAATGCTAGAAACTTGGGTCTGGTTGTCAGAGTAATAGGTATCGTGTCAAGGACATTTTGACGCGTGTCTGGTATGCATAAATTCGGCGTCAAGCCTACCATTCTGTGGAATGTCACTTCAACTTTGCCAGTTACACCGTTTTTTTTCTATTTTTAAACGGTATTGACAGTTTTTAAATCGAGTTTCTCACAATTTTATTTTGAATTAAAGTGCTTTTTGGAGTGAAAACTTCTTTAGGCGCGATGGGCAATTTTGAACAACATACAAAAGAAGGTATTTTTGTTTTAAGATGGGAAAAAACCATTGAACTCGCGACACTTACCATTACCGACACCTCTGTATATAAGTATACATATAAGTTTTCACTTCTGTCGGCACGCCTGGAGTGCCACTGTTTTTTTTTGTTAAGTTTGTTACCAGTCACTTTATTAAAAATAGGCTAGCTAGTCCGCCTTCGTTAAACTTAGTCGAAGGCAGGTTTCATATGCAGCTATTAATGAAAGTAACTGAATAATTTGTTTTTTTTTTAGTTTATACGTAGCAACCATTGTCCATTAACCAGGCTTTTTTTAGTAGGAGGTAAGGAGTAAGAAGAACTCCTTATCGGTAACTACTTGGTTCTTCAGTTTAATGACATTTTGAACTTAAGAGTGCTCATACGTTATTTTTTGTTGTCTCATTTTATGTAGAACAATATTGTAAATAGTAAATTGTGATTTGAACATTGATGTATCGTTCTTTTTTCAGAAGGTGAAAATTATGATGATATTGATGTATTTTTCTTTTTCCATGATTCTAAGCTTTAAGAAAATTTCATATTTATTTAAAAAATACAATAATACAACTAGCTACATTCCGTCTAAAAACGAAGCCATTGTAAGAAATATTTAATTGTTCTTTGAAATGAAACGTGTGTCTGTTTCTAAGAATTGAAGACGTATTTAACTTCTTCGTCTTGTTGATTGAAAACTATTATTGAGAATATGGACCACTTGAAAGATACTTGGAACAATTGAAAAACAGAATAAGTAATTCATTTCTGATAAGAGATTCAATTGTCTTATTTGTTTGAACACCGTTCTATAGCTTGGGGTTTCTATATAACAATGTTATTTATAATTAACATTGACTCAGAATGAAATAAGTGTAATAATTAATATATTTTATGCATACCTAGGGTATAAAATCATAATCACCTGTTATAAATCATATAATCAAACTTGTGACTAGTTTACAATAGCACTGCAACTTATGATTATGATTACCGACGCTAGCGCCAGAAAGGTCTAAATCTAAAAAACTTTTTTTATTGCTTTTTTGCTTAAGTTTTTGATGTTATTTATCTTTGACCAAATCCCAGTATTGATTTTTCACAGGTGAAATCGCAGTGCTTAAAACCGATCATTGCATCAAATTATTACGCCTTAAAAGTAGCAATAATTTCCATTACTATTACCTACAGTTGACGACATTCATTGATCATGATCATGATCACCTGTACGCACATCCACGCATGTGTCACGCCTACATCCCCGAAAGAGTTGGCAGGGGCGTATTAAGCATCCACAGTTTGGCGACAATCATTTTAGTCCCACTTACGCATAGCCTTGACTATTGCTTTCTACGGGGCAACTTAGGATGTGGATGAAAGGCAATGAGCCATAGGACGTGTTTTTGATTCCCGACCAGGACAAATAGTTGTGTGATGAGAAAAACAATTGGTTCTGTGTCTGGCCGAAATTTTTCTATAATTTGGAAAATATAATATACTAGCTGACCCGGCCACGCGTTGCTGTGGCTAAAGTTTTTGTTATATTATATTATAGTAAACAATCTAAGAGGAATAATAAGAGAACATCATTCACGGAGTCCACTATGCTTTTTCACACAGATGGTATTTGTAAAAAAATATGGTGATCTCCTTATTTGACTTTCTACTACTATAACCCTTTAGTACAATGAAATTATTTACGAACAAAGACGAAAATGTTGATGTTGGTATACAAATTCACTGGGACTGAGAACTGAGAACACAATTAATTAAAATGTTCTTACACTTGATATTAAGCAGAAATCAATAGGTACAAAATAAAAATTTATCAGATTTATTATTTCCATTTAATTTTATAACAAATATAAGTATATTACAGTATAATACAATAAATAACATGTGACGCTTAAACTCATGAGTGAGGCTCAGTCTTAAACTTTTAAACATTAATATCTATTTTTTTGAATTATAAATACTTTCAATTTCAATTTAATGTAACACCAATCGGTGCACAATGTTTTTGGTTAACCTGTCTTTAGCTAACACAAATAGATTCGACGGTTTCCCAACACGTGAACACGCAACATATAGTTGCCCATGAGAAAAACATGGATTTTCCAAATCTAAACCACAAATGGACATTGTTTGACCTTGAGATTTATTTATAGACATGGCGAAAGCTAAACGAATTGGAAACTGTAGCCTTTTGAAGGGTATGGTAGAATCTGATGGTATCATCGGAATACGTGGCAGCAGGACCACTTTTCCTTTAAACTTCCCAGCCAAAATGGTTGCTTCAAGAATGTTTCCGGTGATCTTTTTGATGACCAAACGCGTACCGTTACATGATTGAGGTGGATTCAAATTACGGAGGAGAATAATAGAGGAACCAATCTTTAATCGAAGATTATGTGGTGGCATTCCAGGGATATCTAATGAATTTAAAAATTCAATCGGAAAATTTACACTTTCATTTTCATCAACAACAGTATTGATTGATTTAAAAGACATCAGATCGCCTGGTAACAACTGTTGTATCTGGAAGTTAATTTCGTCAACATCAACGTTTTTGGCTGCCAAAATCGCCCGTTGACTAAGCCATTCATGATTCAAATAATTATTCTGTATATCCGGGAAAATACTCTGAATCAATTCATTTTTATCCTGAACAACAGTGCAAAAATTGTCTGGTAGTTTAATGCATTGCGTATTTGGTTGCAGTTCTATTTTACCGTTCCCAATATCTAGTAGTTGTTCGGAAAATATTTGTGCTGATGGATCATTTTGCAATTGTACTCGCATATTTATGGTCAATCGAAGTGTTTCAACACTTCGCCATAAGAATGATTGTTTCCAACATGCATTAATCTCATCCGCGAAAGTAGAGCGAGGTATAACCGGTAAGGTCTGCCGGAAGTCACCAGACAAAAGTCAGATAGCACCACCGAAAAGTTCATTATTGCTGTTTAAATCTTGCATAGTTCTGTTTTATGCTTCAAGTGAATATTTGTGTGCCATTGTGCACTCATCTCAAATTATTATAGAACTCTTCCGCAACACTGCAGCTATTCCACTATTCTTTTTGATGTTACACATTGCATCTGGTTTATTATGAACGTCCAATGGCAGCTTGAATGTTGAATGTGCTGTTCGCCTACCATCCAGTAAAGTAGCCGCAATGCCTGACGATGCTACTGCTAATGCGATTTTTTGTTGCGACCGTATTTTGGCAAGAATCAACGATATTAAAAATGTCTTACCGGTTCCACCGGGTGCATCCAAGAAAAAAAAACCGCCTTGTTCAGCAGCAACAGCCAGCATAATCCGATCATAAATAATTTTTTGTTCTGCTGTCAGTAATGGTTCACTGTTCATGATAATTGTTGCTAAACTTCCATGGTCATATTGATTTTCTCGTTGTAAATCGGTATTGACTAAGTCGGTGGCTGGACGATTAGGTGATGGCATACCATAATGATTAAGTGGTAAATTTGAAATAAGAACACATAAATCCTCGATCAAGACCAATGCTTCATTGTACATCTCTGGTGTATAATCTATGTTTTGGCATTGATTTGTTTGTCTAATTCGGTGCAAGATGTCTTCTGTCATACAATTTTTATATTTTTCCCACAAAGTTTGTGCTTGCGAGGGATAACATGTCGTCAAAATAATTGCAAACAACTGACGAATGTTATTCGGTGTTGATGTCAACGCAGCATCAGCAAGCGTTAAGTCCCAATGGTTATCGTCTTCTAGCAATTGCAGTTCACGACATGCATCCTGGTATGTATTGAATACTCGACCATTAACTGTTCGTAAAAATTCAAAAGACGGTGGTCCGGGAACATTCACCAATAACAAACGTAAATAGAAGCACTCACGTTGCTTTGGATGTACCGTGTAAAGTCTCCCCAATGTCTTAGCTTTGAATATGCCTGTAATGGAAGGATATGGTTTTCCTTGTTTCCGTGGCTCCCATTTTTTACTGGATTTGTTCCATGTGAAATAACGTGGAACATCACCATACACCAATGTCTTCGCGAATTGGCCAAAAACATCAGGTTTTTGACACAATGTAAAAAATTCAGTTAGAGTCGTTTTCGGAGCTTCGAACGCTCTTTGGAGAACATTTTCTTCAGTGAAGTATACACGTTGACCGTTTTCAAGATGTATTGCCAGATGTTGGACAGCAGGATCTCTTTCGTGGATGGGAAAGCTGAGAATATGCCAAATAGCTTCATTGCTGCTAATGTATCTGCCCATTTGGTATCGTGCTATTTCGTCATTTTTATTTATGTTTTGTACTTCAAATATGGCCAAATCACTGCCTTTGTTTACATATTTACAAATATACTTAATTGATTTAACAGAACTGCAAAGCTCAACATTGATATGAGCTTTGTAAGTTTTTGAAAGTAGTGGTGAGTATGGTACCACCCACTGATTATCAAACTCAACTTGATTTGGAAAGTTCGGCAGTCGTATTGTAAATGTGTGGCCACCATTCTCAGTACTTCTGCGGCGATACATTGGATAACCATCAATATCCGTGATCGTGTCATTCGTATGCGGCTTTGGGAAGTTTTTTTTACATTTTCATGAACGGTGTAGATCCGAAATCGTACTGACAGTGTTGTCTCGCCGTGTAATTTTTATAGATCTTTTGTCAACTGGATCACCAACCATGATAACAGCAACCTCATCAACAGTTGGAGCGTTGAATCTACCAGCATGTTCACCTAATGGTACTTTGTCGGCTTTTATGACGATTTGATAATTGTCATTTTGCAGTCGTGGCGAAACTCTTTTGATCAATTGAATTAGTTGATTGTGATCTTCTAAAAAATTTTCCATTAATATCACAATTGCTCTTCCCTCTGCTTGTTCAATAAAATTATACAGGCACCGAGTCGTCACGCGCTCTTCACAATCGCCCATAAAATAAATTTGAAGAAATTTCGGATTGTTATCAGGCATTGGCATCAGTGATCCGATTTTATGGTACACCTGGCTTTGAATTTTGAATGTAGTTTCAAAATTACGTCCATCGGATGCACGATCGCAAATTTTAGTTGCCCCAAATGACGTCATTTGGAAGCAAGAATTAAATTTGCGTATCTTACGCAAAAATAATTTGGAATCATCTGAATTGCCAGTAAGAAGGGATAATAAAGGCTCGGGCGGAGCGGGTAGAGGTGACAGCACAACTTTTCCTGATGCGCAGCACATGCCGGCTGCTTCATTCCGAAATTTCAATGCCTGACAATATTGACATACTTTATCCATTCCACCGATAGCAATTTTTGAATGCGCTGAGTAGTTAATATCTGGTGCATATTCAAAGGCAAGCCGAACGAATGATGCACGTGTTAATGAGCGGCTGATCCGTTGCCTTTGTCGATCTAGTACTCGTAATGTAGCTATGTTTCGTTCTCGTGCCGCTCTTGTTCTCGTAATATTCTGTTGCAGACGTTCGTCACGCTGTTCTTGAGATTCTTGTGCACGACTTTCTGCAGTCCTGATTCTTTGAGCTGCATTTCTTGTTTCGAATTGCTGAGCTCTTTCAACACGTTTGCGTCGTGACCCTTTGCTGCTCGCGTTGTTGAGGTTAGATTTTTTCGGTGGCATTTGACTGAAAATAATAATTTAATCGTTTAACTATTAGAAAGAGGAACTGAAAACATGTTATCATAGCACATTGAAATAATAAGTGCAAAATAATTTTCAATTTAGAGGTTAAATAAAAATAATATAAAAAAAATTGTACAATTATTGAAAAAGTGTGGGGAGCTTTGTGCCATGTTCTCATTGATATATTAATTAACTTTTATAAAACTATGTGATATTACTTACATGTATAAATTGAAATTATTGTTCCTGTGCTCCTACTGTGGCTATGTCTCGTTCTCCTGCTGCTCTTGTTCTTATGATATTCTCTTGAAGACGTTCGTTACACTGTTCTTGAGATTCTATAAAGTTTTGATCAATGAAGCACAAATAAGTAAAAAACAGGATTAATTTCACTGTATTATCTTCATTATAATATGAATTCAATTTACACTTCAGTCTAAGTAACACGTGGCCGGCTATGCTAACACCAAAAATTTAAAAAGTGGAAATAATTGAATTATACGGTATTTCGTTCACTACAAAGTAAATTTAATTAATTTTATAGCGTCAACAATACGTGGTAATTATGCTGTTAAAATTTAGCTTATATGACACGTTCGTAGATTTACCATAGCAGCGCCATCTATTGATTACTTACTCAACCCAGTCGAAAGGTATCGACATCTGTTAGAATCATTTGGAGTTAACAGATAATTGTGACTGTCAAATAATAACAGACAAATAATTAACAATAAATTAAAATTGTGATTATAATAAATTTAAAAAGTGGAAATAATTGAATTATACGGTATTTCGTTCACTACAAAATAAATTTAATTAATTTTATAGCGTCAACAACATGTGGTAATTATGCTGTTAAAATGTAGCTTATATGACACGTTCGTAGATTTACCATAGCAGCGCCATCTATTAATTACTTACTCAACCCAGTCGAAAGGTATCGACATCTGTTAGAATCATTTAGAGTTAACAGATAATTGTGACTGTCAAATAATAACAGACAAATAATCAGCAATAAATTAAAATTGCGACTATAATTTGAGATTTAAACTATCCTATCTCTCAAGTTGGATCGAACTGCACATGGTGTGCGAATTTTATTATAATCGGTTAAGTGGTTTAGGAGTCCATTGAGGACAAACATTGTGACACGAGATTTATATATATTAAGATTATGGAACAGTGAATAAGTATTTTATAAACATAATTACCATGGCGGTCGTGTATGATGTATCAAATTATCATAATTATTACAGTGTATGTATAAATCAAGCTGATTCCAATCACATTTAGTAAACAAGATTACAATAATAAATAAAATGCATATTTGAATTTCTGATTCTGATTTAAATGTGTGCATGGGTGTGATGGATTTCAAACTTTGTAGTTATTTGTTGAATTTCGGGATTGAAAAATAAAGCTGCATAGGAATACGATTATGTGAAAGACCAACATTATACTAAGTAGGTTAGAATGAAATGTACTACATAAATTTAGACTTAAAGGGTAAAGTTAAATGACACCCACCCATGATCATCAAGATATGTGACTTTTGAACTGCATAACATACGTCTTGGCAATTGCTCTTAAATGGGGGCAGCACTGAGGCGAGGGATATTCATACGGACGTTAGTTTAAAACTAAGAAAGTAAATAATTCACAGATGTGATTTAAATTTTGAAATGCTTTCCTCGTAAGACATGAGATGTAAGTACGTACATATTTTTCTAATTTCACACTCCACGTTCTCGGAAGCGGGTACTTTCAGCTATAAATAAAGCTCAAACCATTATAACACATATTTTGGTAACAGCTGATATTTAAAACGTCTTAAGTGCAAGTAAAGAAAGATATGAGTAACCTACTCGTCTTTCACATTTTACTGAGAACGCGATCTGATATATTTATGTATAAAAATGCGTGAGGTTTCGACTCCTCAAGTAAATTTATTAAATATTCTACAGCAAGGTTAGTACGTAGATCATAATTGTAAATTTAATGTTGAAACATGAGTTTAAAACTTTTCGAAAACACAATTTATGTTAAAATTTCAGCAATATTTAATATACAATAATATCTATCAAATATCACCGAAGTCATATGAAGGGATATTTTACTCGGAACTTTGGTATAACTATGTGTGTATATCCATGTATGTATGATCCTAAGGATTCCTTCTATTTAGAGAAAAAAGTTGCAGGTGCACGGCTCAGCCCAGTACTGCGAGGCGCCGGGTCTACTGGTGGTCGCCGGAGATCGCACGGCTGCGCCAACGTGAGTGACCGCGCGCCGCCAGTGGTCCAGGTTCCGCAGGAGGCGTCGCTGCCCCGAAGATGGTGCAGCGAGAGAGGCGGAGCTGTTAGCGGGGTACAGGGTTGCCAAGAGGACCCTTCAGGCAGCGATAAAGCGGGCCAAGAGCGAGGCCCGCCGCGAGATGCTTAAGACACTGGAGCGGGATCCGTGGGGACCCCCCTACCGTATGGTTAGGGGCAAGATGCGCCCATGTGCCCCACCGCTCACCCGGTGTCTTTAGCTAGAGCTGCTTGAGAGGGTCGTTGGCTCCCTGTTCCCAACGCGAGTGGTGGAGCATACTCCGCCACAGATGGCTCCGCCTCCGGCGCTTGAAGCGCCTAACGTGGATGACGACGACGTACCTGAGGTCACTGGGGTGGAACTAAGGGTGGCGGTGTTACAGCTTAAAGCTAAAAACACCGCCCGGGACCCGATCGAAACTGGTCCTCATCCGAAAGGAAGGGCGCCCGGCGGACTCACCGTCCGCCTACCGGCCCATAGTGTTGCTTGACGAGGTGTGCAAGCTCTTTGAAAGAGTGATTGCAAGGCGCCTCGTCAAGCATCTCGTGATGGTGGGGCCGGATCTGGTGGACAGCCAGTACGGTTTCCGTCAGGGGCGCTCCACCGTGAAGGCTCGTGCGGAGGAAGCAGTTGCCCGGGGCGAAGTGGTGTTGGCGGTGTCCTTGGACATCGCGTTCAACACTCTGCCCTGGAGCTGCATCAGGGAGGCGCTCGTGTATCACGAAGTGCCTCTCTAACTCCGCCGCATAGTCGGGGCATATTTGTCGGAGAGAGCCGTCGTCTACCCCAGTAGGACCGGTCTCGGTAGGCGTGAAATGTCGTGCGGTGCTCCGCAGGGGTCGGTGTTAGGGCCACTCTTGTGGAACATCGGCTACGACTGGGTGCTTCGTGGTGCCTTCTTGGATGGTGTCGCCGTCGTGTGCTACGCGGACGACACGCTCGGGTTGCCCAAGTCGTTGAGCGAATCCGGCGGCTGGGTCTCGAGGTGGCTCTGCACAAGTCCGAGACCCTGTTCTTCCACGGGCTTCGGAAGAAGCCACCTGAGGGATCTAGCCTCACGGTAGGAGGCAATCGCATCGGCATCGAGCCCTCGATCAGGGCCTCAATTCTGCTATTACGCCAAGCCAGTGTCATACCACTGACACGCTATTGAGATGCCATCGAGTAGCCATTGGCATCGGTATAAATATCGGTAGTTGAAAATATATTACGTTTTTTGCGGAAATGATTTATTTGTTTTTATTATAATAAATTAAAATAACTTATTAAAAAAATAAAATTAAAAAAAAAGAAATATAATATATATACAAAACCATACTGGGCCATACCCGTAACGGGCCATCCCTTTACGGGTGCCCAGTGTGATTTTGTATATAAAACATTTTACTAGCCGGCCGAATACCGGATAGTCAATTTAAGTCACTTGCTTACAATAATACCTAGTTTATTTAAATAATGTTGCCTCGATTTGATACGTACAGATTTTCTATAAAAATATTATTACTCATAGATAAGTAATATGCACTAATAACGTATTAATTTATTATTTAAATACGCATAATAAAATTTAACGTTCATATTGGCCTCTACTCATTTATAAATGTCTAGTCAATACAGGAAGCATTTTATTTTAAAACGTTATTTAACCTCTCTATTAAATCTTTTTAATGAGGCAAACTTCGAAGAGTGTAGACGATAAAACGATTATTTCCGTGTTCGTGGCCTTTGACATCGACACAAGCGCGGCGCCAACGACCGAGCGAGTTGCCAGCTGATCCCCATCGCACAGCTTTTGTCGACTTACACTCGAAGAATTCTTTAATGGCCCTGTAGAAAGTCCCTCCACGATGCCAGATAAACCGAAACGTGCATTATACTTTTTGATGAACACTGGCGATTGCAACCTACGGAATGTTACGAGCGGCCTCAATCTCACGATTGATGGATATAAAAGCTCTATAGATACATCGGTGATGCTTTTGACGATGCAATAAAGTCTTTGGCAATAACTGTTCGGATTCAATGTAAGTTTAGCTGAGCAACCTTCGCGTGTTCTCGGAAATAGTCGACCGGTCGACGCTGCGCCGCGGTTCCTGGAACGTGCGTCGCGTCGCACGACGACCCGCGGTAGTTTCGATTTTTAAAATAGACGCGTTCCGTTATAGGTACGTGAACCAATATTGGAATTTAGATTTATAACCAGTCAATTAAACATTGGGTAATCTGTAAATGAGGTTTATTTTTATCCAGAGCCCAGTATGGGTGCCGAGTGAAAGGGATTTCATACTGTGAACTTGTAAAACAGGTTATGGCGTTATGGACTTTCTTCTTCGTTTCAATACAGGTGTTTTCTAATCGTTTAATGTATCTAAGCTTTTAATTCTTGGTTGTTGTAAAGTAAAGATAACATTAGATTGTACTAAAAGCTATTGAAAATAATCAAACTAACATCTCAAACAGAATTTCACTTTCGTTAATGACAAGAATTCGTACTCATCTTTATCTATAAAAGAAGAAACTGAAAGACTGATCGATCAATGCACAACTCAAACCACTGGTTTTTCTTAATTCTCTAAGGGTGCAAAATGGGGGTTGGAAATTTATATGAAACTTCGTTATTATTGGCAGTAGTTTTCAAACTCACAATTAATACTTTATGTACCTACCCTTAAAAAAGGGTGCAT